TTTTTTTTTTTTTTATATAAGAGCATTTCTTTTGTGTTGAACCTAAAACGCCATTCCCACCATTCCCATATAAATAATTGCAAGTCTTAAAATAAATCTGCATTGGATAGTCAGTAATTACATTGGTTGATCCACAGAGGTGATTCATGTACTTGAATACCACATGCTGTAATACAGCATGGATTTGTGAGGGATTGCATTAAGGGCTGTGTGCCTTAGGCATGCATGGCGGTAATGTTTGGATAAGGATGTTAAGAGCTGGTGGGACCGGGGTCTCCGGTGGCAGCTTGTCGCCAACACATTAGCACAAAAAGAACACACAGAGCTGTACTCACTCTAATAGCTTTTCCACATTTTTAATTCCATAGACGGCCTGGCCACCTTCAAAAGCTTCCTCAGATCTGAGTTCAGCGAGGAAAATATTGAGTTCTGGGAGGCTTGCGAGGACTTCAAAAAGACCAAGTCCCCCCTGAAAATGGCCATCAAAGCAAACAAGATTTATGAGGACTTCATTCAGACCGGTGGGCCCAAAGAGGTTTGTTTGTTTTGCCATTGTTTTTTTGTTTGTTTTTTGTTTTTTGTGCTAATCACACTCAGATTTACAGTTCAGATAAAAAAAGTACAGTGCTTCAGAGGTAGAAGGAAGCAGTTCTCCATCAGACTCGTTATTCATCTCCTGTGAAAATATGTTTCATATCAGTTGTTTAGATCACTGTATAAACGCTGAGGCCAATGTTCTCCCCCCTAAATATCCCCAAGGAGCTACTGTATAAAAACTTGAAAGTGCCGTTAAGGTACCACTCCTTCAAGTTATTTTTTTAAGTCAGCATAAGCTTGTGTTCTGCATCTGAAATACATCATTTAGGCATATTGTTTTATCTACATGATTGTTGGTTACTCATATTTGATATTTAAGCATCTTGAGCTGGATATAACCTAATGAAAATGCTGTTGTCCACTCAGGTATTAGCAAGGTCATTTAATGTATAATGTTTCTAATAGCCAAAAAGGTTGTAGGTTCTAACCCTGTGCCACTAAAACCCACATTTAAACTCATGCTGTCCTTTTGTTTAAAGCTTAAAAATAATTCAGTAAATGATCGTGTTATTTTTTTTACAGCCATTAGACAACATACCAAATTTTGATAAATGTAGCAATAGCTATTTGTTTCTTAGTGACCATAATGTTTTTTTAAATCAATGAAATGCAAACAGTGTCTCATTGCCATTTTAAATATAACTTTTTCTAATTATGTGATTGTTTCCGCACCAATATTTTGTACTGATATTTTTTTAGTTCTGTTCTTTCATTATTATGATCAAACACTTTGATTGTGCATATTACAATAAAACAAAACAAAATCTAAATACATTTAAATATAAAACAATGATTTAAAAAAATAAATGGGTAAGACACATTCAAAACAAATGGAAACAAATGGTTGCTGCTTGCAAAGATTTAATAATTAACAAGTCAAAGACTTTTGAGGCATTTCTCTATATCAGATTATGTAAGGAAACTGATATGGTCAACATGATGGTCAGGAAGAAAATAAAAATGAATACAATTCTCTAATCCAGCCTGTATTCGTAAAAACTGCAGGGAATCAGTCAAATTGTCTGAATTCGTTCCAGAAGACAGACTGCTCCACAGCCCTCCTAGAGTGCTGAGACACTGTCAAAGTTGAAATAATGTGTTTCTTACTCATTATTTTTGTCCAATTTGAAGCATTTTGTGACTGACTTTTACACACTTCCTCCTTATCCCCAATATCATGCTTTTAGGTGAACATCGACCACTTCACCAAAGATGTGACTCTGAGGAACCTGGTGGATCTTTCTCCCTCCTCTTTCGAGCTGGCTCAGAGCCGGATCTACACCCTGATGGAGAAAGACTCCTTCGGTCGGTTCCTGCGGTCTGAGCAGTACCAGGAACTCCTCAAGTAAACTGACTTGTCCAGCTGCAGGGAGACTCATCACTTTGGTCACAAATTTATGTCACAGAAATCATTTTTACTCCAAGTCTTTAATGTACACTTTTTGACAAATTTCTAAAGCTCATTAAACGATACCACAGTTGGTGGAAGTGGAAAACATCGGGAACGGTTGCAATGTCTCCCTGCAGCTGACTGAACTGGCCCACTGCTAACAAGAACATCTTAACACAATGTGATTCCTGCCCAGTGCTCTGAATGTCAAAGTCAAGAACTTCAATAAAAGAAGTTGATTAGGGTTAAGAAACAGTATTGCTCCTTATAAAAGTGTGATTTGTCATTAGCAAACATTTAATTTGTACAAGTGCAAAATGCCAAGGATTTGAAGCGCCTCTTAAAATCTTGTATATATGTCCTATTAATTGGAGTCACACTCTTTTCTGACCCCTGTAGACTAAATAAAGACTAAAACTGATCCCCACTTGTAATTTATGGCTTTTCGGATAAGTGCAGAAGTGTTTCATGTACTTTTGATGAGGACGTTCTGACCCGAGCATCTAAGCAGCATGTTCATCAAGGGGAAGAGGCTGGGGAATGGGAACGGGAGATTGTGGGCTTTTTCTTGGAAATGTTTGCGTTAACATTAAAATGACCAAATGGTAAACCAATGGAAATCATGGGGAAACGACCCACTTAGTATTGAAAGCTAACTATAAGTCAAAGCTAAAAAAAAAAAGTGTGACATGTTAAGATGCACTCCAGTCTCTGGGAACTTGTTGTTTGGGTTACCGTAAAGCTTAAAAATAATTCAGTAAATGATCGTGTTATTTTTTTTACAGCCATTAGACAACATACCAAATTTTGATAAATGTAGCAATAGCTATTTGTTTCTTAGTGACCATAATGTTTTTTTAAATCAATGAAATGCAAACAGTGTCTCATTGCCATTTTAAATATAACTTTTTCTAATTATGTGATTGTTTCCGCACCAATATTTTGTACTGATATTTTTTTAGTTCTGTTCTTTCATTATTATGATCAAACACTTTGATTGTGCATATTACAATAAAACAAAACAAAATCTAAATACATTTAAATATAAAACAATATGTAAATATTATAACAAAAATAAATGGGTAAGACACATTCAAAACAAATGGAAACAAATGGTTGCTGCTTGCAAAAATTTAATAATTAACAAGTCAAAGACTTTTGAGGCATTTCTCTATATCAGATTATGTAAGGAAACTGATATGGTCAACATGATGGTCAGGAAGAAAATAAAAATGAATACAATTCTCTAATCCAGCCTGTATTCGTAAAAACTGCAGGGAATCAGTCAAATTGTCTGAATTCGTTCCAGAAGACAGACTGCTCCACAGCCCTCCTAGAGTGCTGAGACACTGTCAAAGTTGAAATAATGTGTTTCTTACTCATTATTTTTGTCCAATTTGAAGCATTTTGTGACTGACTTTTACACACTTCCTCCTTATCCCCAATATCATGCTTTTAGGTGAACATCGACCACTTCACCAAAGATGTGACTCTGAGGAACCTGGTGGATCTTTCTCCCTCCTCTTTCGAGCTGGCTCAGAGCCGGATCTACACCCTGATGGAGAAAGACTCCTTCGGTCGGTTCCTGCGGTCTGAGCAGTACCAGGAACTCCTCAAGTAAACCGACTTGTCCAGCTGCAGGGAGACTCAGTTCTTTGGTCACAAATTCATATCATTTTACTCAAACTAAAAGTCTTTAATATACATTTCTGACACACTTCTAAAACTCATTAAACGATACCGCAGTTTTTTATTTGGTAAAAGTGGAAAACACCAGGCACAGTTGCAATGTCCCCCTGCAGCTGACTGAACTGGTCCACTGCTAACAAGAACATCTTAACATAAATTGTTAAAATTGCCCAGTGCTCTGAATGTCAAAGTCAAGAACTTTAATAAAAGAAGTTGATTAGGGCTTAAGAGACAGTATGCATTGTTCCTTATAAAAGTGTGATTTGTCATTAACAATCATTTAATTTGTACAAGTGCAAAATGCCAAGGATTTGAAGCGCCTCTTACAATCTTGTATATATAATGTCCTATTAATTGGAGTCACACTCTGATCCCTGTAGACTAAATAAAGACTTAAATCCCCGCTTGTAATTTATGACTTTTCGGATAAGTGCAGAAGTGGTACATGTACTTTTGATCAGGATGTTCTGACCCAAGCATCTAAGCAGCATGTTCATCAAGGGGAAGAGGCTGGGGAATGGGAATGGGAGAGTGTGGGGTTTTTCTTGGAAATGTCTGTGTTAATATTAAAATGCCCAAATGGTAAACCAATGGAAATCATGGGGAAACGACCCACTTTGTGTTGAAAGCTTCACTATAAGTCAAAGCTAAAAAAAAAAAGTGTGACATGTTAAGATGCACTCCAGTCTCTGGGAACTTGTTGTTTGGGTTACCGTTGTTGAAAGTTGCTAAGATGGGAATTTCAAGTAGGAGGGAATCTCTATAAAGCACTGGGCACATCATTTTTTATTCTAAAGGAAATGTTTATTCCCATGCCACTTTAAAAGCAGAAAACATTTAGATTAAGTCATGGAAACCCAAAACATCCAAGTGTTTTTTTTTCTTTCTCCGACTTCCTACAGCAACCATTTATCACAATAACATAAATATATACACACTGTAATACCTATAAACTATTATACTCTACACAAGAATGATTACTGCAAAATGTTATTGAAGTTAACATCTATTGTTTGCCCTAAGCATGTGCAGGCAGTCGTGAGTTGTAAGTCAAGTTATTGCAGATAGAACGGCATATCAAACATACGTAACCCACAAGTGTGATATTCAGTGTTCTTTTGCATGTTTTTATTTAAAGTGTGTTTCACAGACACATATACTCTTGCATGTTTCTTTATTATACTGTGTGTAGCTATGTCACTAAATCTAATAACATTCATTCATATTATGAGCAGTGGTAGGTGCCTCCAGAAGTCCTTACTGATGTTCCAAAAGCAAATTATTAGTTCACTGCAGGACAGGTTTAGTTTAATATGGCCATCAATAACTGGGCATCACCAACTAAATTCAAGATAAATTGAATTAATCCCACAAGAATTTTAAGAGCAGTAACAGCTCTTTTAGTTAATTAAAAAATATACATATTTTAAAATTATGATTTTTTTTTTTGCCTAAAAATTGTCAGTAAGGACTGACAGAGTACCTTGCTTATACAAGAAATCTGCATAAAACTATATGCATGTATGTTTGTAGTTGATCATATAAAATCCATAATCACATTAAAGTTCTGAAGATTATTTTTTTTTCGATGTACATATCAGCCTTTTACAAATGACTTTAATTTATTATCTTTAAGATTGCTTGTCTGTTTGTTTGATCTTCAAGGTAAAAATGACTAAGATAAGATTGTGTCCTTTCGGTTATTTCTAAAAAAAATATGAGGCCTGATTTTGTCCTTTTCTTTACCAAGCAAGGCTAGTAAATCAGCAAAAGTAAATCAGACACTTAAAAGTTAAGCTTTGTTTTCCTCCTCTCTGTATTATAATTGTTCTGAATCATCATGGAATTACTCAGCATTGTTTAATGGTACTCCATTTTGGCAAGCATGGAATTTCAGTAATATCTGTATTCCCAAGAGAACGTTGTTAAAATGCCAAATCTGAATAATAATGCAACTGCTTCCTGACTTCCTGTACGGTAAGCTCTCTCATCCATTTCCTTTAGCCACTCGACCAGAGTGTTTTATTCACACAACCGTGATAAGATGAGTGGATATGTGTGAAGAATAGAAAGATATAACAAGAAAGACAGAGGAAGAGAGAGGTGGAAAATTGAGATGAAGCAGATGGGCGATGGGAGGTTGCCAAAATAAACAATGTCAGACGCAAACATGTTCACATTCATTACCACTCTCATTCCTAGAAATAGGCGTAGACTTGTGCCTGTGGCTTAAACCCCTTGTGTACTGGCGGAACCGAAAGACATTTCTTGAGTTGCATCAAAAAGGCACCCTTTTCATAAATGCCAAACAAAAGAGCATCTCCATTTTGCTTTGTCGATGTCCAGACTGTAGGTCAGGATCATCAAAACTGTTCTTTATTAAATAGTTTTTGTTCTGCTGCTTTTATCAAAGACATACAAGAACATAACTAATTTCATTTAAACAGCAAATGCACGCATCCAATTAATCTCTGCTTAAACAAGGTTAAACCCTTTTGAACATTCTATTATAAGCTGACTCATTACTCTTTCACTGTCACTTCTCTGATGAATAAAAAATTAATAATTTTTAAAAATGCTTACTGATTCCAAAGTTTTACACAGCTGTAGTGTATGAATCAGTCAAATGAACTAAGAACATTTTCTTCAGAAAATGTGCAAATACTTTCATCTTCATTTTTAACAATATACTGTTTTATAATTTAAATTAACTTTTTATTGTAAAATGTTTTGTTTGAAAAGTGTGTTTGTGCTATATGCCTCTTTAAAAAAATAAATGCCACAGGGTTTGAAATTTTCTTATAATGCAAATAAATTAATACATTATGTGTTCAAATACTTTTTATGGCTACTGTACATCTGTATATCCGTTCACAAATAGCGTGTCAGTTCACATGCCAAATTTATTTTTATGACAGTCCTCATTCGACACAATTGTGGTGGTGTTACCTCAGTGCTGAAACTATGTACAACAGTCATACCATACCAGGGCCAAACAATATTAAATCTTATCCAGGTATTAACAGCAGACTTACGACAGCTCGAGCTGAAGCTATAACAACGCACAAGAGTGTGAGAGTGTGTGTGTGGAACAGGATACTAATCATGCCCTTACGGCACAATAATGCTGTTCCTGCTATTTGCGCATGCACACAAATGGAAACAAATGTGGCTCGTACACACAAAAACAAAACCAGAAACCAGATAACGACTGTGCAGGGCTCAGATGGAAGGAGAGATAATGCTCTCTAAATACTCACTTCATATGGTCATTTGTGTAGTAAAACCAGACCGCTCTCATTAAAGAGACAGCTGTGAATTTGCTGTGTTTTTGATGGCTACCAAGATTTACATAGGTGAATGTAAATTCTAGGAAATCTAAATAATGAACTGTTAAGTTTGGCTTATAAAACTGTTTTTTTTTTTCTTTTAACAAACACCCAAAAATACCAAAACAATGTTATTATATTGATACAGCTATGTCCTTAATGCATTTCATACACTCTCAGAAAAAAAGTACAACGCTGTCTCTTAGGTAAGGTAAGGTAACTTATAACTTGCAGGTAACTGGTATATATAAGTAACTTAAAGTTACATATTAGTACTTTAAAGCAACGGTACGGGGTTTTTTTACCTTGAAATATCAGTTTCAAAATCTTTCTCATGGTTCACTGACATCTTTTTTGGGACGCTGCGTCCGAAATCGCATAGTTCCCCACAATATAGTATGTGAAAAACAGTATGTGAGGCGAGTATATGTCTGAATTCATAGTATTTTGAAAAACAGTAGGCAGCAAGTACCTGGATGACCTACTGTTCTACTTCAGGCGTGACTCTGAAGTGCGCATACGATGGACACTTTACTGTCCCATGAAGCCACGGGAGAGAAGTTATCAAATGGCAGTGAAGTGACGCAACGGACACTGGTAGATCATGACAGTAGCAACACGGCAGATGTAGTAAATTCAAATTCAAATACAGTACCTACTCAGACAGTACGCGATTTAGGATGCACTGCATGTTTGATTA